TCTGGCAGTCAAGAAATGCACTGCAACATCTAATAATACCCCTGTCCTCAAAGGAACGGGCTGAAGTGAGTTCATATTTCCAAACTGCTCCATAGTATTTATTACTAGGAGAAGAAAATGTTGGCAAAAAGTATTTCCAGGGACCACAAGATTAGCTCATCCATGTGGACACAAACCACACAACTTCTTCTCTGAATGCTATAGCTTGGAAGGTTAGTTAACGTCCTATATAACAAAGAAACAGAAGCATGGGTTAAACAGAAAGCATCAGCAATCCACCATCGAGCTGCGTGTCTCCACTTGCTCAGAACCAGGACTTGGAGCAATCCATGTTGCAGTTATGTGCAATACTGTGTTATGTACCACTGTACATATGCCATATATTCTAGGGCAATACTCCAACATGAGACACACGTGAAGCCCAGGTAGTGAAAGGAAGACAGAGTGCAAAACAAGCTTAAAGAAATTAGGAAGGAGAATGGAGACTAAAAAGTGTAATTTATAAAAACACTGTAATAAAAAGCTTTTTTAAAGTGGAAAAAATAGCAAAGACATTCTGCATTTGTAGAACACACTCTGAGTAACTGCAGTGTTTATATAAAACATTCTGTGTAATGACAAAAGTCTGATGCATCTCCTCAGACAGATCCACTGCTGAGAAATACCAGAGCTAACAGCTTGTCTGTGAGATGCAACTTCTTACCTTTCCACCAACACATAAAAGCATGACGATGCTGATGGAAGATGGAACATAAGCATGCTGTGCTCGTTTATTACCCCACACTATTATTAAGATCAAAATCTTCATTAAAGGCAAATCAGAAGTGAAAACATGAGTGAATGAGTGACCAGCAGATTCTCCAGGATAGGCTCCAAGCTGCTGAAAATGGCCCAACCTGCACAGTGTGCACGAGTACATGGATACAAGCACACACGCTGCTCCATGCAGCACACTCTACACAAGCAGGAGTCAAATGTGTTTCCTATTAAACAGATGTGGGTGGTCTGCTCCTCCATCTGAAGCAGTATCTCGCGTTGATTAATTTTGTAAAGCAACGCAGTGCTTAATTCTATCTGAACAGCTCTCTGAAGAGCTCTCTTCTATCGAAGTGTATTAATATCTTTCAGCTAGTAAAATATGAAGATGAAATAAGTGTTAACCCATGAACTGAAGGTTAATGCAATTCACTTTACAAAACAGTCCTGGAAGCAGACAGGGAAGCTCAGCAGTACTGAACTGACAAGGGCTGCAGCCAGACATAACCACAGGGATCCTATTAGGAGGACTTTTGGTGTCCATCAACACAACAGAACGTAAGGGCACAGCTCTCCCTTCACACAGTTAGTGAATCTACATCTCTGTCTTCCACCCAGCCTCTCGTTTCACACTTCATTTGTAGATACTGACCGTGTCTCCTCTTGTCAAATTTGGCCAAAATTGACAAATATGTTAAAAAATGACAGGTGAGAGACTGCAGAAACAAGTGTGCAGATGCAAGAGAGTCACAGAACCGAGGCACTAACAACAAACAAGGAGTAATTTCTGTTATTTCCTTTCCATTCTAGTACTCCTGCTTTATGCAATGAGGACTACTCACAGTGGTGGTGATCTTGAAAGGGCTAAACCTGAATTTTGTGTTACACACTGAAAATCAGAACTGCTGATGTCCTTATATTTCATGAGAAAATATCTATGTTTTCAGTAGGGCTGAAGTAATGAGCTACTTAATGACACAGAGTGCCTTTAAGTCATTTTGGTTCCTTGCCTAAAAACTTTCCTCACTACTGCAGCCACCCCACAAGCACATTTTATACCACAAATGAAAATGTATACTTCCAAAGATAAACTTTCATCTCCCTGTGGTGAACCTTATGCAGCGCACCAAGAATTTTTCATAGACATGCATCTGTTCGTTCTCTATAGCTTCTGCACGTTAGTCAAAATATTTTCTATTAAATACAGATTTGGATGTCTTCTTTCCCTTCTAGAAAAAGAGAAAGGAAGAAACAGCTTTCCACTGACAAAACTTAAAGAAACCTGAAACAAAAAGGAAAGATATAATCCTTTATGCACTAGCTTGAGCACTGCTAGCTAGGTTTGGCAAAAGCAAGGCTGATGACATTAGATTTTCATTGAAGTTTAAACAACGCATCAAAGTAGTACTGCTCAGAGCACAAGCAAACAGTCAGGACAAGAACATTACTTGGTTCCCATGCCAGCACCGCACTCAGTTTTTGGTAGGATTTATGGAGCAACACATCACAGAACCATGGAATCACAAAATAGCTCAGGTTGGAAGGGACGTCGAGGATCATGAAGCTCCAACCCTCCCTGCTGCATGCAGGGTCACCAACCTCAACATTTCATAGCAGCCCAGGGCCCCATCCAACCTGGCCTTGAACACCTCCAGGGATGGACGGGGCATCCACAGCCTCTCTGGGCAGCTGTTCCAGCACCTCACCACTCTCATAGTAAAGAACTTTTCCCTGATATCCAACCTACATCTTCCTTCAACTTCAAACCATTTCCCCTTGTCCTGCTGTTATCTACCCTTTCAAAGAGTTGACTCCCCTCCTGTTTGTAGGTTCCCTTTAGGTACTGAAAGGCTGCCATGAGGTCACCCCGCAACCTTCTCTTCTCCAGGCTGAACAAGCCCAGCTCCCTCAGCCTGTCATCAATAACATCACCAATAAGAACCAGATGGGCTCTGCAGTAGCACTGCCAAGCAGGCACGGCGTGCCGGGGCTCTTCTCAGCGCCCCTCTGACAAATGGAAAGATGAAATGGATGAAATCCTGGCACAGCTGAACTCGACAGGAGTTGTACAATGCAGCCAGAACCTCATCCTTAAATGTTATGAGGCATTTATCCATATGCTCTCTCACATCACAGCAAATTCATAATCTGCCTACTGAAACCAAATCGCATTTTAAATGAATTATTGGTAGTGATAAAATAACATGAAATCATTGTTTGTGGGCCAGTGCTGTTCCTAGTAAATTTATTGCTTCATAAAGTTTACATGAATTCTCTTTAGTTGTCACTATAGATGCAAATCTCAACAGCCATTAACATCCAGGCACCCAAAACAACAAGCTGTGGGCAGGTTCATGCAGGGCACAGCTGTTTCCAAAGGCACACAGCCTCCAGCTGGTTACATATTGGTTCCCAAAAGAAAGCCATGCACCAGTCATCTGCAGAAGGAACTTTCAGAACTGTGCTTATGGCACAAAAGACACAAACCCAGCAGCTCCTATGTCCATCACTCAGAATGCTGCTGCTTATGGCCAGCTGTTGGTTGCACTGCTGCCACTGCAAACCTTTCCCACCTGCAGAGATCACCTCTACCATCCATTTCTTTGGGATCACAATGCCTCACAGAAATGATGTGCCCCTAGCATTAGCTCACACATTCCTTCCCAACATCCACTTTTTCAAATCTGTCTAGGTTTAAAAACAGTGCAACACAATCACTGATTGCACTGATGAGATCAATAGATAAAAAAGGTTTAGGAGATCCAAATTCCTTTGGATCATAATCTCCTCTACAAATACAGATTTAATGTGATTGCAATACAAGCTTGACATCCGCATCAGGTACACAAAAAGACAATTGGCCTAATGCAGCAAACTGAATGGTTATTGCCTATTACCATCCCTGAGATAGCCAGTAAGCTACTAGAAATGAAAACAGGTCAATAGGAGTTTATTTCTTGGCTCAGTTTAGAGTATAGAAAGCAGAGCAATATCATCATCAAACACTCTTCTGTGTAACTATTAAACCCATTGCCTTAACAGAAGCATAAAAACAAAACATCAAATTCTTAAAACAGAAATGGAAATAAGCTCTCTCTGGCTATGTTCTTAAGCCTTAATTGGCATTTCAAATTGGCAGTGGCATACAAAACATTGTAGTGTAACAAATTATTCCTTCTCTACTAATCCACGGGTGACCTACATAAGATTCTGGCTATAAAGACTGAGATCTGGTTCAATTAGTCAAGTTGGGTCATTTTCAGACACACTCAATTCTACACTCATGTTTAAAACTCTCCTCCCTCTACACAGCATATATAGAAAGGCATCACACAAGAGCTGAAGCACTGTATCATATGTATGTCTGCAAGGCCTTCACCTACTTCCTTTGCAGTAAAATATTTACACCACAGCACGAGGAAGAGACTTGGCTGTCCTCATTAATGTATTCACCAAGTAATCCCCTACTAGAAGCCACTGTATCAGAGTGAGATGCATGCATTCAGATTCTTCTTCGCTCCTAATTAGGGGCTATGCTTACTATATTCTATATGCAAACACTTTTAATACCTTTCACACTGCCAAAAGCTGCATCTGCAATATAAGTAATATCTGTTTGTTACTGCATGTAGCTTTAATTACCAAAAAAATTCACACACACTGCAGCAAACAGCAGTACATCAACATGGCGTGAATTCTTGCTGTGAATCCACAGACTTTGTGACAATCTCTCTTCAAAAGAGATTGCAATTTTTTTCCATCTCAACATCAGAGTGACTTTTGAAATAACACACACAAATGAAAAGTAAGAACCTGAGATGAAAGGCTATTATTTTGAACACGTGAGCAGTATTTAAATGCCCCTGTTCATTGCAGGGGAGTTGGACTAGATGACCTTTCAGGGTCCCTTCCAATTCAAGAGATCCTATGGTTCTATGAATAACTAAATAACTAACTCATTTCCTTTTATGATCTCTTCCAATTTAGCCAAAGATTATTTGCTACACTTGGTGTGCTCGCAGCTGCTAGCTGCAATTAAATCTGAATTCAGATTTTGATATTGAGGCATTTCTGGCCCACAGCAAGCTAACTTAAAGCAGTCCATTAGGATTCCTTCATAAACAACAGCTGAAAAGCCATTTGTCTGGCAACATACACTCCATTCTCTAGAGCAACTGGAAGAGGCCCACAGTTGCTGTCTTACCAATGCAGAATAAACTGGGAACTTTCAGTATTATACTCACAGCGGATTCCATATATCATGAGAGGATCGAGCTGCTTCTTCCCATGCTTCCCCTGGCCTGAAAGGTTGGAGATGGCCTGAATTTCCCGATGGAAGAGATAATCCAGCAATGTCAGCGCCATCTTCTCGGCCGTGCGGCAGTTGGTGCTGATGTGCAGCATGTCAGCAGGGGTGATGGGGCAGCGGACCCGCATCTCAGGGTTATTTTCATCTCCAAGCCACGTCCCGTTGGGGTAATCCTCTAGAAACAGAGATCGTGGAAATTGTTATCGTGGCCAGGAATGAAAGAGTCAGGTTCAGGTAGCAGCCAACATTTAAGTTCTCTGTGTTTTCTTTGTGGTCTCCATAAGTTTCTTTCAGATCTAGAATGACTGATAAGTTCACTGTATTTGTTGTGGGTAAAAAGTTAATTTGCAAATCCGCATCAAGAGTGAGCAAAGCAGTTACTATTAACACCCTGTTCTACAGAAGGAACCCAGTGCAATTAGTCCAAATGTCTAATTCACTCTCACACAGCTTTCAAAAGTGTCTCATGTTAGAAGCCAACAGCTGAAAGCACACTGTATTCACAGTGCTCTCATTTTTTATCGTTAGTCATTCCCTAAAAATGAATTACTGCAACCCCGTAACATTCTCAGAGTATAGCTAATTCCAACCACACTTCTCCCCAAAAGCATCAGATTAAAACAAGTCTAAGCAAGATTATAAATTTAAGAAGTAATACTCAACAGTGGTCAGTAACTTATCTGATCACTTATAAAAACAGTATTTTAAAGTAATAACAACAACTCAAAATGTAGCCAGAGATCCCAATCAGAATTTTGTTTTTCTCCTCAAATTTACTGGCCAGCATTCTATATTATTTCCTAAAAACACAGCTTACCAAGGAATAGTCCCAGCACAAAGATAATAAATGAATCATTAGTCATCTCCCCAGTGCATCTTCCCTTCTAGTCACGGATGAGGTCATTAGCAGGGCAATATATTTTAATTTTAATCACTGCCAGAACTGCACCTTACTGCTCTGTGTATGCACACACACTACTCTGTATGTATATCTGCAGAAGATTTTTGAATTTGCCACAGTGTCTCACTTTGAGGGGGGGAAACACTATTCACCTTATGAGATACCAAGCCCTCAATGTGAACAGATCTTTGGTAATGTCAAAAATTAGTGGATATGAGACTAACGAGGAATGGGAACAGAGCTCAGAGGGATGGCCAACCACTAATGGAGGATGGGATGCAACACATGACAGAGGACGAGATGCTCATTCCAAATGAAAGCAGAATTCCCAGTACAGATGTTGACAGCATCAGTAGGAATTGGGAAAAACAACCAGTGTTCAATGACAGAGACAATTTGATTTCTGTGTTTGCTCTCAGTAGAGTAAAACACAAAGCTTCCTGACTTAGAACCCTTCGCTTCTCCCACTCTAGAGCAATACAGCATTTTCCCACTGCTTCACATATCCTCAGAATGGTAAAAATGAGAAGAAGGCAATCAATTATATGATTTATCCCACACGAAATGCCTTTGAAAGGGAGCTTTACGGCATATACAAAGCCATAAAGTCCTGTCTTCCATAATCCCTTTAATCCATGAAGTGACAGAACTCCAACAGACGAGCACTCTTCGTATTGAACCCCAAGCAATCAGCAGCTTTCCCTCTAACAACTGGTACCCGTTGTCAGCCTGCATTTCACCAGGCCGTAAGCCAAGAAGATACGCAATAAAAGCTAACATAAAAACAGAACACTTTTTCAATACGACCTTCAGGTTGGGTCATACCACTGCTGTCAGATGTAATTTCATTGCAATGAATTATGACAGTATGGAGCAAACGTTAGATTGTGCAATAGTGATGTATCATTACAAAGAACAGATTATCAAATATAATAATGTCTAAGGAAAAATACTTATCACTGACATACGGAGCAGCTAGCCCCTCAAATTTATTTCTGATGAAATCAGAATTTAATGCTCTGTTCTGAATATGTTGTTATATATGCCTCTTTCTATTCATACATATATAAAGTACTTCATATATATATGTTTGCTTGTACCTAAACTATCTAATAAAGCACACGAGTGGTTTTCTGTCCACAGCACCAGGTGCCATCTGAAAAATAAGGTGGTTCAGATTAATTCGACTTGTTTTGAATGCCACTGTGTCTGGCCTTACCACAAGTCTGGTTAACATTATCAGGGAAAATAACATTCTGTTCCTGAAGACAAACGGAGTGTTTGATAAAAATTTGGACAGAGCTGGCAAAGCAAAGATGTCATTGGAGAGATGTGGATGTTTTTCAAAAGAAAACCTAGGAAGCAAAAGGAAGGTGCTACTCGCCTTCCAAACCTCGCTACTTCACCAGTTCACACTACTACCATTAGGTGTAAGTCATTAATACATTGGGAAAACCTTTCATCTGTACTCTTGCTATCAGCCTACACCAAAGATTTTTATCAATTTGCAAAATCATCGCTTGTGTGGTTTTGTCTCTTTTTCTTACTGGCACCAAGTCCAGAACATACTGTTTTCACCACATGCAACCGTCCTTTTATTGCTAGCAGCCTGCAAAAAAGACACTGCCTTGTTATTCTGACCTATGAATGCAAGCTCCACGTGAAATTCTCTCTTGTATTTCCATCCTGCTTTAAGAAGCTCAAATGAAAGCTTCCTTTTGTCTGCAGAAATACAAGGAATCATTAAAGAAAAATGATGTGTATGAAGTTACCAGTGGTCTTTACATACATCCACTCAGTGTTGATGCCAACACTTCCATTCAGTCCAAACTAAACTGGTTTGAATATGCCTTATTAATTCATTCCTTGCAGCCTTCTAAATGAAATTCTTCCTGTCCAAACAAAACCTGAACAGTACCAAAATGTTGATGGAAATGAGAGACTGATGATTCAAAAGAGCACGGTAACCTAATAAAAATTCTGACAGCTCTATGGATGTGTCCAGCCTTTTCCTCACCTCTCCCTTTCCCATACACTCCAGGACACGTATATAAACATATATATATAACCATCACCCAAAGCCTTAAAAGCTGAGATCCACAGGCTTTGCTGTGTAATCATTTTGTATCAGTGGAACTTACATGAGTGAAGTTACACGTGGCTATCTTGCTGATCTACCTGATGGCACACAAGCTAAAATTCTCCTTATCATGTATGAAAATATCTGCCTTTAAAGGCAATGCTGGATCAGGCTGTGGGCAACCTGATGGAGCAGTGGATGTCCCTGTTTGTAGCAGGGCAGTTTGACCAGGTGACCTCTGGGGGTCTCTTCCAGCCCTATGGATTCTGTGATTCTGTGAAAATATTATCCATACTGAACTGTCAGCACATCTGGCACCTCGTACACAGCAACTAAGAAAAGACTGACACCCAAAATAATGGTGAGAAGAGGAAGCAGAGTGCCAGTTACAAGGAAACTGGCTCTGAATGAGTGGAGAAAAGAGACTGAATAGGGAGAGGGACAAAAGACAGAGTTTGACAGACGTTCTTTTCTCTGAGCAATTATTTAGTACATAAATACTATTGATTAAAGCTACTTCATTCAAAGCTTCCAGCACTCAAGCCTCCTTTTGTACCTAAACCATAATGGTTCACTGTAATGTTCACTGTAATGGTTCCTGATGTGAATTATCAGGCATTATATTTATATCTAGATAGGATCTAGATGAGCTGGGTTATTTAGTACATACGTTGCAATACTCAGATACTGAGCCAGGACTCCACCAGGCACTGCACAATCACAGCAGCACAGCTTCTACTCTTTAAAGACTGCCAAAAGGCAACGAACACACAAAGGGCTGGGGAGGAAAAATACAGTCAGATAACACACTTTGCTTAAAAACCAGCACATATAGATGCACGCACTCATCTGTATGCCAGAGTAAATACAAACCTTTCTGGTTTTACCCTGAAGGATTTTTCTTTCATTAATTTTCCCAATGGCTCTGCTGTCCCACTTAAACTCTGGCGTACAGAACACACTCTGCAGAGGAGCTCCACCATGAGATACGTGCTGCAGAAAGGTGCTTCCTTGCACTTCTGTACGCCAAGTACCGTATCACCAGCAAAGTGGCTCTCGATCATTCCTATTTCCAGTGTTAAAAGTCCTGATGTTTTTATCTGATTTGCTCCCTGCACTCAGAAACTCATTTCAATGACAGACAATCTAAGTTTCTGGTTTCTCTTCACTGTTTTTTCAAGATCAGAAAATTTGCCTTTATCTCCATCCTGCTGAATCCAGAAATAGTTTGCTTTTCAATGCTGTTTTCAAATCTTTTTGACTGTATTAAGTCCATTCCTTTTATCTCAGAACACAGTTGACCATTTCTCTGTGACCAGAGAACACAATGGTTTCAGCAGGCACATGTGAGCAGGCAGAGGCTGGGGCTGCTACACAGCCATGCACTGCTACAGAAACAGTGCAGGGAGCTCTGAGGTCAGCATCCAAACCCCAGTGCCAAGAGCACAGCCACCAGACAAGAGTCACTGCAGATTTCATGCCTGGTCTCACCATGCACGTGTGTGTTCCCACCCAAGGAGATGAATAGCAGTGCAGGGTCTGCCATATCTTCCCACTGGGACACGTTCCCCTGCTCAACATAAGAGCATCAGCAGTAAGACCAGAAACAAAGCTGGGCTCTGCTCTCCCACTGTGTGTTGTCAACCATTCCTTTAAAACAAAGGCAAACAAGATGAAGCACCTGCCCACATAAATACTGGAATTAACCCATTCCATTACTCAGTGTGGTTGCATTGGAAAGGCAGAGTGGAAGCTGGTACTTGGAGCAGAAAAAAAAACAACACCTGGTAGCTGCCACAGAAAGGCAGAAAGATGACCTAAGCTAAAAACAAAAAGAAGCCCCCACTCCTGGAGACATTAAGTAATATTCTGGCTAACGTGTAGGAGATTCTGCATCTTCTTAAGTAAACTCCTGTCAAACAGCTGGAGCGCTTTGCCCCTGCAAGGGTTCATGGGGGTGTGATTAGCAGAGAGCTCCCAATAATCCAAACTCAATGCAGTCCCACTTCTATAGCTTTCTTTGGCTTTAACTCATCAGTAAGTTCGTGAGGTCTGATCAGTGTGCTCACATCAGCTGTGCACACTGCTATTTTAAGGATGGAAAACGTTTGCTGTGTGAAGGTTCACTCTTGCTGACCGAACGTGAACGTAAGGAGCTCAGCAGGAAAAGCAGAAGAGTTGTAAGCGATGATAT